CCAAGCTTGCTTTGACGTGCGATGGCTTGTTCAAGGACTTCCAGCCAAGTTCGTGATTAGTGCCTAGCTGCCTTTTATATAGGCTTGCCTTGGATAACAATAAAAAGCCAATATCCGCCTATCTCGAAAGCTCTGAGTCTGTAGGGAAAATTCTTGACAATGCAGGAAACATCGTAGGCTAGCGGCCGCTCCAGAACACATGTAACAAATCCGTAGTCCCCCATGGCTTCAAGATCCCCATTACTTCATCTATTTCTTCACCCCAAGGGGTAGTGGTTCACTGTACATTTTCACTGTCCCGATGGTGGGAAAAATTGCCCCTATCGACCGTCGCTGGAAAAAAATGGGAATACAAATTAGGAGGAAACCGCACAGCCATCACTTACGTCCACAAACATGTGGCACTAAACATCCTCTGGGAGGAAAATGCGCAAATGGGGCAATTAAGCAGGAAAAAATAAAGGCAACGCATGCATTCACCATAAGATTAGNGGAAAATGCGCAAATGGGGCAATTAAGCAGGAAAAAATAAAGGCAACGCATGCATTCACCATAAGATTAGTCGTCACAGTAACGAAGCTACTGCGCAGTTCTATTTGATTTATGATCAAATCTGCGCCGGGAGCTGTGTCAGTCTACACTATCCTGGAAAACGAAACAGAAGAAAATGCTAAACACGCCTTTTCTTATCAGCTCTCCACTCGTCGTCCTGATGCTTGAAGAATCTCCAGCTGCCCCTCTGAAACCTGCGCAACAAGCCACTGCATAGGATATCCTGCTTTAAAGGAACCAGTACCGTCGCCGAGGGGCGAAGGCCATTCCGGAAATCCTCCAGAGCGTTTTTAATCCTTTCCGCCAAGGAGAGAATGTCTCTAGTTGCTCTGCGCGGATTCGGGTGAGAACTTAGGACATAGTTAACTGGAAGCTGGGCCATAATCCTCGTCCACCAAATACTGGGCTGCGCCGACTCCCCCAATGTCATGCTAGCAGCATATAGGGAATCTGCAAGCAGTAGATAAAGCGCCAGCCTCTCGACCGCAAATACAGGCCGCACAACGATGAGAGTACTCTCTACTTTATGCATCGCAAACCCAACGAGTTCCTCTAAACAAGTCATGAGCACATTTGCGCCAGTTGCGTCGACCACGTCCATTTTGAGCCACGAGCTGATTTGTATGAGTGATCGAAGCGGAGAAAGGAGATTCCTGGAAGCTGCTTCCGCAAATTTCATGTTGAAGGTCCTTGGAACCACCCCTGGAAGCAAATGAGGGGTTCTGTAGAAAGGATGCTCACAAATGGCTGGTTCACGTGCAGACGCAGGTCCCGGTGAGAGACCTTCACAAAGAGGAAAACAAACTTTTGGTCTTGCCTTGCCCATATATGAATAATCCACCTGCACAAAGGAAAGCTGAGCGGAGAATAAAATGGTTCAAAATGAAGCGGCTAGAAACGTGAGGGGACCGTTGAGTAGCATCCGTCTAGGAAGCAACCACGAATCAAACTCCGAAGCCATCCCACTACGGTTACTACCTATGTTGCTTCGTTAAATTCAGATGACAGCAAAAAGAAGCAAAACGACCCCTACCTGCAGGCCTGACTCTACCGGTTCACGCAAGTGACTGGGCGGGCCTCGCGTGGTTCCTGCGGATAGACATACATGCACTTNGACTCTACCGGTTCACGCAAGTGACTGGGCGGGCCTCGCGTGGTTCCTGCGGATAGACATACATGCACTTTCCTGGAGTTAGTCTTTGACGGTGCGGTGTGTTGCAACGTGGCCATCTACCTCTGTCCCTCCAGCACGCGCTGGAAACACTATTTGAGAACAAACTGATCTGGGTTACTGCAACTCCCACCTGAAATTCTCGTCTGCTCCGCTTCAACTGAGGGGCTCACAAACGAAGCACTTTGAGTCCAATGATCCAGAATGCGAGCATCTTGTGAAGTCCACACGCTTGAAGGCGATGGTGATTGCCCTGTGGCGGTCCAGGCTATTTGCTGTGAGAATTGTTGCACTGTCCCTAAGTTAACCGCGCCAGAGGACGCTGGAGGCGGAACTACAAGAGTTGTTGCAAGAATCGTGCTATCCGCGCCTCTGCTTGTCCCTGCTTCCGGAGAGTCCTGGAAGTGCCCCGTTCCTTCTTCTTTCCCACCTTCGAACAGTAGGCTTGCAGGCACTTCCAAGGCGGGATCCACTAGCCACGAATCTACCTGCACGCTACTTCCTTCAGCAAGTATTTCCTCAATCAAATCATCCAATGGTGTGCTGAGACTGTCCTCCATAGCGGCGCCTTCTGCATCCAAAGAAAATCCTCCTTCCTCCTGAAACTTCGAGAGGTCCTGTAGCTCTTCTTCACTTGCAGTTTCCCATATCCTTTTAACACCATGACCTGCTGGGCGTGGTTCCATTCCACTTGGCGCTGCAAGCGTACTTGACGGCACGCTCGACTGAGGGCTAAACTTTTCTCCGCGGATGCCCTTTAACCACTCGCAAGTCAGTGAGCTATATATTCGTGTCCCGTCCCCACCTGCTCGTTGCTGTTCNTGCCCTTTAACCACTCGCAAGTCAGTGAGCTATATATTCGTGTCCCGTCCCCACCTGCTCGTTGCTGTTCATCAGCCAGCCGGCGCCATTGATGCCAACAAGCCGTGCGGTCATGGCGGGTATGGGTGCACTGAGAAGTGACGAAAACAACAGCAACAGCAGAAACGAAGGCTATCGTCCCGTAAATAGAGGAGTTGCGGAAGAGTCCAAGAAGATGGAAATCCCCGACAAGTCCATTCAACATTTTTCGTCGTCCCTTTCCTCTCCGTTGCCCGTTTGGAACTGTATACACGTCTTCCAAACGCTCCTCACTTTGCTGCGTCGAATATGAGGGAAGCGACAACATTGGGCAAAGCAATGGCGTCCAGAAAAATTCACGCTTCACAGCAATGTCGGGCGTCAGCACAGCGGCAAATGCCAGTGTTCTTTTCGGTTTTTTCCGTCGGAGAAGGACCAATTTGAGCTGTACCCACTAGTTGGCTATACACGTGGTAATTGTTGGACAGAAAAAACCTGTGGATCACATAGGAACATGCAGAGCTGCAGGGGTCCTGGTACGCGCACTGTGTGGCAGTGAACTNAACCTGTGGATCACATAGGAACATGCAGAGCTGCAGGGGTCCTGGTACGCGCACTGTGTGGCAGTGAACTTTCCCATAGACTACTAACTGAAGATACATTTATCGTACATTCAGAAGGAGCTATCCTTAGGCTGTTCCCGTAACACATTTCATTCTGGAGTTTCAGCCGCTTGTTGAATGACTCTTGACACTACCATTAGCCTGCTTGCCGACGCGCGCCTGCATCGAGCAGCGAGACGTCCGTCTGTCTTGTACAACGTGACAGCAATGAATTTACCGGCACGCCCCCTCATCAAAAGCAACCTCAGTAGAGAAAACAGCCAGTGCACAAGCAGGAAAATGTTGGGGTAACTTTTATGTGCATGCAATGCAGTCTATCAGACCGCATGCGGCATGCGGCCAGTGGTTAAATCGAGCTCGAATAGCGGGCGACTAGCGTCGGCAGCAATATGTGTACAGTAAATGCTTCTTTCTACGTATACCATGGATATCTGCTGACCATTTAAAGGAACGTAGAATTTCCTCGGCTTTGCGCATAGGTGGCGCTCTCTCTTCCGTAACTGAGAGCGAGACGGTCGACTGAACTCCCAAGACTCGAGGTAAGACGGTGCGCCTCGAGGTAAACTACGCATGTCCTTGCCTTGCTCCTCTTCACAGCTTGCTTGAATTTAATATTATCCAGGACATCCTAGGGGGGGTGACTTGACAATTCACTGTCAACTCTACTTCATCCACTCCACTGGCCGCGTCCAAGCGCAGCAGTAGAGAGCAAAGCGGATGAGCCGTTACCATGAGCAGTCACTCACGTGTATGTGGAAAATTTAGTCTTCTGGTTGGACTGGTGCACCCAGATCCACCGTCTGTCTCATATACAAAATTTCGTCTCCATGTCCTGGTTTATAGTCAGCGGTAGGACGGTCCCTTTCGCTGCCCGTTGACCTATGAGCCGTTACCATGGGCAGTCACTCACGTGTATGTGGAAAATTTACAGTCTGCTGACTGAACTGGTGCACCCGTTTTCTGTTCATCTCCTTCTGCAACTGAGCAGCGGTGCCCGGATACCGGCCGACTCCTCTCATCTGCTGGATTTGATTCCCAATGCATTGATACACGACCACATTCGTGAGCTTGCACTTCTGATATTTTCGCTCTAGAAGTGCCGCAACACGCGTGGCAGCCTAGAGAAGCAGGGGGGTTGTCGACGGTTGCGAAGTGATCTTCATATCAAAAAGGCTCAGTGCTTTTATTTCCTCCGACACAATAGACGCTTTGCGGATAAAGTGGGCTATCCCCACTCCTATATGCCTGCGCAAACGACGATTTTGCAACATCCTTTGGTATGCTTAATTCGCACCATATCGTGTTTCTGCACTAAGCAGACTTTTGAGGACGCTAGCTTGAACCTTGAAGAACTGCTCTTTGCACGGTGCTGCACGCTCCAGCAAGATCATAGCAACTCGAAAGTTTCCCTAGTTCGTCATTCTGCATTCAACGAGACAAGCAGTGGCTGTGAGGCAGCCAATGCGCTTGCAACTGCGCTGCGAAGCTGAGACCTCACACAGGTGTACTTCTGATGCCTTTAGAGATTACGCCACACGTTTCTTATTAATTAAACGTGTGTGCGCACCTGGGATCGTGCATCCTGAAGAAGCTGAAGTTTCCACACTAGTATGTGGACATTTCAGCTTCGACTGATGCCACACTACAAATATGCTTAATTCTTGTTTTCATTAGACGAGTACGCGAAACANTTCAGCTTCGACTGATGCCACACTACAAATATGCTTAATTCTTGTTTTCATTAGACGAGTACGCGAAACATGAGTGGTCCGTCCTCTTCAGACAACATTGCCTAGGCGCCTTCACTGAATTTTCCAGAGGACTCCACTCTAGTTTGCGAGGGAGCCAAGAAATATGCTAAGCCTCCAGGAATGTCAGTGTTAATTTCAACATTTTCAACCTGGGGATCATGCCTTTACATCAGATAGTGTGGTGGCGCTCACGAATAGGAAGGAACTTCTGAACATCACGCAGCTCCTCATACGATTCATGGCGCCTACAGAATTAGCAAAAAAAAGATATCAGCAGAAAAAAAGCAACGTGTGCGAAACGCCTGATGAGGCTGGCATTTACATGCCAAGTTGTGAAACAGAGCTTCACGAGGATCAACTCTGCAGAATATGTTACGCAGAAGCATTGGGAAACCTAGGGACTGTACCGATGCCTCAGCGGACAACGGCGGATTGCACGCTTCATAAATTCACCCACCGAGCAAACCAGCGTTGGAGAGAAGAAAGAGCCACCTTATGGCATTAAGAAGGCCAACACATACGTATAAATCATATGCCCGACTGGATCTCTTTACGCAGCAGTCAAACCTTACCGAAAGACAACGACCGTTCTGTTCGACTCAGTCTTTGAACCATGTTTTCTTTGACGAGGTAAAAGCATGGAGCAAGTGCANCGACCGTTCTGTTCGACTCAGTCTTTGAACCATGTTTTCTTTGACGAGGTAAAAGCATGGAGCAAGTGCAACAAATTCCTTCTGTTCCACAGAACAGATGTCAGCTTGGTTGTGCTTGCATGTGTGTGCAAGCCTGCGTAGCACTGCTGGTGGCAGCCCTGGGAAGAGCGCTTGGTTGCCCAAACAAACGAAGTACAAACAAACGGTGTAGCCTCAATGCATTACGTGCTTCTGATCTACTTGGCTGTTGAACTTATACAAAATCGCATCTCTGTACTTGCGAGGATGTTGCAGATAATGGATTTTGCTGGTATAGATGACACGTTTGCAGTTCGTGTGGCGGATGGCGATCATTCCAACCGTAGGATTTCTCTGCTCGCGACTGAAACGTGGCCTCATTTTTTTGCCATTCGATGCACCGTCTCACCACCGTTAAATCTGCTTCTAAAGCGGCTTGGGAGCGCTGGTATCTGCACTACTTTCGGGCAGGATCAGTTCAATCTACTTAATATCTCGGCGACGATTCACCATTCACTACACTAATTCCCTCTGTCGCCGCTAGTGTCTCATTCTNACTTAATATCTCGGCGACGATTCACCATTCACTACACTAATTCCCTCTGTCGCCGCTAGTGTCTCATTCTCCTGTCACAATACAGGCCAAACATACGTATCCTAGATTCCTCTAACCCTCCTCAAAGTTTTCTAAGTGCCACGCTGGAGGATAGGAGGACTAGAAATCACAACACGTTGTGTGGCCAGCTTCATGGCGCGTGCCTCCACGTCTAACTTCAATGCTAAGAACAGGAAGATAATCCGCTTCCTGATACTCCCCAAAAGCTGTACGGCAGATAAATAGATGAACATCGGACTTCTCTTGATATGGTCACCCAATGCCCATGCAACTCTCCAAAACATCAGTGGTTGACAGGGCCGGCAGGAAGGCGGTGGGGCCTTGGGGGTCAGAGACAGGCAGAAGCGCGCGAAACGAATACTCTTGAGAGGTATGCGTCGGGCTGTAGGAAGAACTGGCGAGAACACTGTGTCCACATACAGTTAAGGAAAGTATAGTAAATCGCAAACGAACTGCCTACAACGTGCACCATCAGCAACCACTGATCGCATCCTTTAAGGTACGTTTATGCGTAGCAAACGCGCATTTCAATACTGCCCCGCACACTGCAACCGTTCTCCCCTAGTTAAAATACTGTGCTTCCTGCATAACATGCGCAGTATCCGTTACCTGACCACGCTCACGTGTAGAAAACTTCATGGGGCTGCAATGTAT